AAAGAGTTTTCACTTGTAGTTTTGTGATGATTTTTTTTTGCTATCTATGCATTTGTAATGTCGCTTGTGCTTAACGCTCCCTCTAAGCTTTGGAGCCTTGTGAGCAGAAATTCTACTTTGTCAGCGACTGGCATTAAAGTTGTGAGCGAGCGATTTGGCAGCTGCATAGATTTAGTTTGCTCTGGAGCCCTCCTTCCCGGACTAAGACAAAAATGTGTGCGCTTGGGGTTAAAAAACTGTGAGCCAGAGCTTAGAGGGAACACTGCTTGTGATGTTTGCTTATTTATGCGAAACACGAGTCTGCGGCTGAAAACGAGATCCTGAGCGCTCATCCTCCATAACGTGTATTGAACTTACCCCCGTGTCATCATGACATCATTGTCCTGAGCCCTCCCCCTCCCCAGCAGCGGAAGACAAGCACATCGAGTGGTCGGTGGGGAGCGACATCATGACGGTGGGACAGGGGGACGCGGAGGCATTCTACGTGACAGGAGGGAAGGGAGGCAACTTGACGCAGGGCTGCCATTTTCAGTGGCAACTCTGAGTTTCTCAGTCTATGTCGTTCTGCCAGCCAAGGGGAACATCCCCTATCCTCTAGCAGTCAGTGATTCTACAAGAGACCATGAAAAAGCAGAAGCACGAACCAATGGTGATTTCTCCTTTTTGGTAGGCTCTTTTGAGAGCCTTCTCCGAGCAGAAAATAAACTAGCTTCAGAGGGAATGCGTCGTTTAAGAAAATCTGCGTTTTAAGGAGGCCAGGCTTCTTGCTTCTTCCTCACTTTCATTCCATTCCTACGGAGGCTAAAACAGGGAACTAACGTGTTTCAAGGGTTTCTTCAACGAAATAAGTCACTAGTATCAGTATGTATCCCGGCCTCGCTCGTGGGAAGGTGCCACCTCCTGGCTTCCGTTTCCAGTCTGTAAGGGGAAATTTTGTGACTGCCTTCACGGGTGCTAAGAGGAAAAGCGGCATAAATACTGGAAAGTAGACTGCCCTTTAAACGAAAAGTGGCGTGTGTGTGGTGAATTCAACATTCAGCACATGAAACACTTCAAGACAGTGCATCCTCCGTGGAATGTCTGCACCTTGAGAATCCAACGGATGATGCTGTTAATTATATTAAGCATTTTAAAGGCCAGCTTTGTCTCGCACCTGTGCTCAAGTCCAACCTTTGCCGAAGGTTCACTTGCATGGCCTCAAACAGGTCAATCTCTCAGCCTCAATTCCCACTCCGTAATTTAGTACATATATCTATGTAATTTCTTTAAAACAGTTCTGATATAGTTGCTGTAGATTTTCCGGGTTGTGTGGCCATGGTTTTGGCATTGTAGGACCTGACGTTTCGCCAGCAGCTGTGACTGGCATCCTCAGAGGTACAGAAAGATGGCGTACTCTCTCTGTCAAGGTGAGAAGGAAAATGGTAGGCAGGTAATTTATATCTACTCCAGAAGGTGGGGTAGGGCTGAGTCATTATCTTGTAGGCGTTCCTCAGGCTATGAACATGCTAATGGAGGAGCTTTCTTGAGGAGGTTCTTTTATATATGGATTATTTCCTGAGGAGGTTTCCTGTTTCCTGAGGAGGTTCTTTTGTATGTGGATTGGCTGTTGAAATTGTATGTGGATTGGCTGTTATACCTCTGAGGATGCCAGTCACAGCTACTGGCGAAACGTCAGGTTCTACAATGCCAAGACCACGGCCACACAACCCGGAAAATCTGCAGCAACTAACGAACTCCGGCCGTGAAAGCCTTCGACAACATATAGTTCTGATATAATTTCTATAAAATCGTTCCATCCCTCCTGTCCCCGACGATGGACTCAAGGCAGCTTATTAATTGGTTTTATTAACCCCCCCCTCCAGAAACGTAAAACCAAAACTATCCATCCAATGACCCCAGTCCTAACTCAAACCCCATTAAAAGCCCCCCCAGCGGAAAAATACAGCACGACATCTCCCCCTGAATTCTGGCAAAGAGGCGGCCCTCCTCATCTCCTTTGGCAGTCCGTTGGACAAGGTAGATGTGACAGCAAAACACGCTTCCCTGGTACAGGAGTCCTGCTGTACTAGAACCCATGTGGGTTGGGGGTCCTGTGCCCAGGGAACTGGGGAGGCAGCAGGTCTCCTTGAATGGAGCACAACAGCGGGGACAGGCACCCCAGGCTTCCGCTGTGTCTTTCTTGGTAGCTATTTTACGCTCTCCCATCCAGCAGAATGGATTTCACCGGCTTCTGTATGGAATCCGGCCCTTGCTAGCAACACGGAGGGGCCTCAAGGAAGGAAGGAGGGGGCCTCTGCGCGAATGCCGTAGTGACTACAAAGCACTCGGCACGTTAGGAGCGCCAGGTAAGCAGGAAGAGGAATGAATAAGGAGGCGATCCAAACATTCCAGCCTATATCTCTTCCCCCTGCTGTGCTCAAGCAGCCCATTTGCCACAATAGGAACCTGCATAATTCACAACCACATCCAGTGAACATCGATCATTTGGCCCATCCACCACCTTCGCCTCCCTTGATTCTATCCCAAACTTATCAAATAGAATCTCATCATTTGCCCCCAGCCTTGCATTCAGATCCCCTCCCATAATTAACTCTGCGTTGGGATATGCCTGCAAACAGTGGGAACACAATAGGAACCTTGGTCTCTGAGTACCAGTTGCCGGGGGGAAGGGGGAATTGTTGCCTTCGTGCCTTGCCTAGAGACAGTTCTACAAGGGGTGCAACCAGGGGTCATTTCCTGCAGGAGCGCACAGGAGCGGAGCTCCGGCAGTAAAGAGCCCAAGCAAGAAGCAGCCAGGTAAGTTGCAGTGGGTGTTGCCTTCTGACACATTTCTGGTGATGTCAGGGGGTGTGGTATATGCAAATAAGTTATGCTAATGAGCTCCTGCACCTCCTTTTCTACGAAATGACCCCTGGGTGCAACCATTCTAATCTGCAGCCGCCTCCCCCTTCCAAGAGCCAAAGCAGCTAACACTTCTTCTTCCTCATTCCCCGGGCGCTTTTAAATACAGCACGGTAAGTCACCTATGCACAGCTTGCCATGCAATGTTGGGAGGCAAAGGCGATGGAGGTGAAAGAAGGAGGTAGCTGTTGGATTGGCGGGGGGGGGGGGGGGGGGGGAGATGTGCAGGCTACTGGCCTCCCATATCCACAACCTGAGGGCACTGCCTCACCTTGCCTTGCTAGAACGCTAGTCCTGGTGTGGCTCGTGAGCTTCTGGTTGGCTACTGTGGAACAGAGGATGCTGGACTAGACATGCCTTGGGTCTGATGCAGCTGAGCTCTTTTTTATGTTCTTATGAGCCAGGTTCAGCTATTTCAGTTAGCCTCTGGTAGGTTTAGTGATTTTAAGCAACATGCCATTAAAAAAAAACCTCAGTTTGGTTTGAAAGAAATGAAAATCTGATCATGTGTGTCTCAAAGAGCATTCTGAAAAGGCAAAGGACCACTGCCAGCCTACCCCTTGAAGGGACCTTCAGGGTTACATGAAAAGCTTGCAAGAATAGTTAGAAAATATTTCCAGTTATGTCTGTGTAACTCTTACAATCAGTGATCCAAATCTGGGGTTTTAACCTGTCAGAGAATTCTTGGGTTTCAGTTACATGCCAAAAAGCTCATGATCAGACACAAGGGAAATCAGCCCTGCTAAAGCAGATACATTAATAAAAGGAACTCAAATTCTTTTCTTTTTAAAATTCTTTTTTTTTTGTCCCCAAGAGAGCACTGCCAGAAACAAAATCTGCAAAGAATTTGACTTACAAACAGGAAGCCGCCTTCCACCCCTCGGCCTTCAAAAGGTTTTCAGTCACATGCCTGGGGAATATTAAAGACATTGTTTGCTCAACATTTTGCTGACAGGTTCCGAATGTCACCAAATTTAGCCGTTTAAACCAATGTTAAAAATTCAAATGAGAATAACAAGGCAATAAATGCATGCAGTGCTCCTGGTTCCACAGACCAAATCGTGAATAAGGCAATTTGAGTTCCTAATAGCCTCATTATCAAGGGCCCAGCCCGCAGCCAGTTCCCTCCGTGCCTTTTGATTCGCCTTCTGGCTGAAAAGCGCTCTGCATCTTCATACGCGAGAGAGAGGGAACCTGACTTGTGCTGTAAATCAGAGACAACAGGAACAGTTGTTGGGAACTTCTGTGCCAGTCCTACCGAATTGCTGTGGAATGCATACGAGAGTCTGTGATCCTGTGCAAATCCCATTCATTTAACATAGGAAGAGCCCTGCTGGATCAGACCAGTAGTCCATCTAGTTCAGCATCCAGTCTCATACAGTGGCCATGCGGGTCCTCTGGAGGGCCAACAACAGGGCATAGAGGCCGAGACCTTCCCCTGGTGTTGCCTTCTGGCTCTGAGATTCAGAGGTGACTGGCTCTGAACGTTGTTCCAAAGGGACTGGCCCAGGAGAAGTTCCCCAGTGGATTGTGCCCACTGAAGAAAGGTCTATAGAGAGATATTTCTATTTGTGATTAAAGGCAGCGTAAAAGTTTTTAAAAGCATTATGAGAGGCATGCTCAGGAAGAAAAAAAAAACACTTGCAGCAATTGAGAATCATTAGGCCAAGAAAAGTTAATAGAAGCTGGCTTTTCCACTTTTAGGCCACAAATAAGTATCATGGGGAAACGTGGGCAGATGGGTCAGGAAAAAACTGTTACGAGCTAGTTATTTTTGAGAACTTGTTTGCAGTGCTTCTGTGTCATTTGCATTTCCAAGAAGGACAGGAGGAGGCAGTGTGGGTGAAGGGACCACAAGTTGCTCTCTCCCCTGGGTTCAAATCCTTGCGCTCTGTGAACTCACTGGGTGCTGCTAAGGGAATCTCATTTTCTCACCTTCAGTTTTCCATCTTTAAAAGGGAAGTACGGGAATGAAGGAATAAAGAAAAACCATCCTCCACTGAAAGCACTAGAGAACACAATACTGGGGCTGTCAAAGGACTGATATATTTTTAGTTGATTAATCATTTGCCTGTCAAAAATCTAGAAAAACTGACCAATTAGATTTAAACACATACCATATTACCAAATCCTCTTTCTTCATACCTTTATGGCAGGAGGGTAAGTGTGAGATAACATAACTTCTATCATTGCTAGGAAGAAGGTACGTTATTTTTCCCTTCATACTATTTACAAGGCACCAGGGATTCAAATTAAAAATCCCAAACCAAAAACAAACAAAAATGGTGTGTTTTTAACTCACACACAGATGTAAATTTGTCCTCAGTGATTAAAACTGGGCACTAATCAACGACAACTTTAACTGCTTTACTAACTGAAACAATTAAAAGTTGCAGCCTCAATAAACAATAATAGAAAATTGATACTGTCCTGTTTGTTTGATTGGCGTACCATTTTAATGGGGCAACACCAGAGTAAAAGCCTTTTAAGCATCTATCAGCAGCGATGAGCATTTGTTAATGTCAGTTCAGTTCAGAAATTCGTGAGTGTGTGTGTGTGTGTGTGTGTGTTTTCCTATGCTTTATTTTTCTGCGGAAAATTTCCCATTTCTAAATATTGTTTTATAAAATTAACAGCAATGAATGGATGCCATTGCCAATATAATATCAGGAAAATCTGGCAGTTCCAGTGTTGTAATTAATGCTTTTTGGTAATTCTCCATAGGAATTATGTGACAGAGTACATGTATTTTATTGATTTGTGAATCAGGAGTGGGGGGTAAAACTACAAATACATGTAATAATCAATATTTTTTTTTAAAGTTACAAATTTGTCAGATTGGCTTTGCAAGTCAAATCAAAACTGACAGTGTTTATATGACTGTTCCCACATGGTGGAAGGGATATTGCAATCATCCGTCTAATATGGACCTAACAAGTAATCCAAGCAAGGAGGTACCCCAGTGACTTCTCTGGATGAGAAATGGACTGTTGAAAGAGGTGAGTGGACAATCACATCCTCAGCATATTGTGCCCAGTTCTTTGGCTGTGGTAAAGTCAGCATGCTCACAGTTTCCAGTGTTTTCATATTCCCTACTTAAATTTAAACAGTACAAGGGAAGTGCATGCTATATTGTCTGTACATTTTACAAGCATTATGCCAATAGAAATAATTTCCAGTTAAAACTTTGCATTTGCCTGAATATAAATCACACAACTTACGTTCGCCCCCGAATCAAATATTTCAGTTCAAGTATCTGTTGCTACCGTTATACAAAATTACTTTAAAAAAAACAACACTTATTAAATCTAAGTTAAAAGAAACATGCTCAGTCAGATTCACACCCTATTGAAGGCATCAGATAATTTTCTGAAAAGGTTTCTGGGAAACGGTTCCATTTCCATTTCTTCTGGAAAATCCACATCACTGGTTCAATTCAATCCAGCGAGTGCCATGCTTGTAGGAAACAGGTTGGAGAACACTGAGCCCTTTGGGATCTGGTCCGTGCCAAATGGCGATCATCGATTTCGGGACAGTGGGGGCAGGTAGAGGGAATGCCCATTTAGAGCCTACGATAAAGACTGGAGGACACTGAAGGGTCAGCACTAATCAACCATCTGGTAGGCAGGGCTTTTTTTGTAGAAAAAGCCCACCAGGAGCTCATTAGCATAACAGGCCACACCCAACAGCAGAATCAAATTAGCATATTAGGCCACACCCCATGCCTTCCCTTGGCTTGTCCAGGCACCCCGCGACTGCGGGGAGCCTGGGCAAGCCGAAACTTGGACAGGCCAGGTAAGGCACAGGGAGGCATTTAAATGCCTCCCTGATCCTTCCAGGGGCCCCCCTGCCTCGGAGTCGCCGGGGGTCGCTCTCCAGGCCTTCCCTCTGTAGCCACACACACAGAGGTTTTGGCTGTAGTAGGCGTGGCCAACTCTGAAGTGAGCCGGAACTCCGTTCCTGTGCGTTCCTGCTCAAAAATAGCCCTGCTGGTAGGGATGCCGGCCTCCAGGTGGGACTTGGAGGTCTCCTGAAATTACAGCTCCTCTCCTGGGTCAGTTCCCTGAAGAAAACGGATGCTTTGGAGAGTGGACTCTGTGTCACTGTATCCCACGAAGGTCCCTGTCCTTCTCAGATCCCATCCCCAATTTTCCACCCCCAGTTTCCCAACCTGGATCTGGCAATTATACCCCCTATCCCCTCCCATTGTCCGGGGGGGGGGGGGGGAGACACATGGTAACCCTAGGAAATGGTGAGGCATCCTCTTCCCCTCCCTTCAAAAGGAGATCTGCACGGTCAAAGGTCACAGGAGGGAAGAATCTCAAGTGCAGAGTGAAAGACAAGAACTTTGCCACTGTGTGTGCGTCAGGATCTCTGCATACACTGGGTATCCAAAGACCGAAATGGCCTTCCATTATTTAGGAAACGAAATAATCACAGAAACCAAAAATGTCTGGAATCATACCATTTTAGTATTCCAATATATCCTCTACCAAAGGAATGAAATTTCCTCCAGAACAGTTTTAGACAAGATGATTTAATGGATGCTTTCCCGCTGTAAGTTCTGTGATCAATAATTTACAACCTGCCGAAGTTTTCCTAATTATTTCTCAACAGCAAAGTAAAGGAAAGGAATCCTCACTAGGGAAGGGGAGCTTCCAGAGTTCAAACAGAAATTTTTAAGTTAGCAAAGGGATTTTTACGAAAATTGTACTGCTTTTTCAAAACCTCTCTCGCATTTGTAAAGGAACGCACCCTTGCGCCTTTTTTTAATCTGTGGCAGGCTCTAGGGTTGCCAAGTGAATTTAACTCACCGGTAGGGGAGCCTCGCTGCGCTCCGGGAGCTGTTCTTTGTCGGGCGCGGGCGCGCCGCCAGCACGTCACCAGAAGTGACACGTGACGTCGATCATGTTGAGGGCGTGGCCCCGATCGCCGGAGGGAAAACCATAGAGTTTTCCCTCCAACGATCATGATCGGGGCTACGCCCCCAACGTGATCGACGTGGTTGCGCAGCCACGCTGCGCTTCGGGAGCCGGAGTTCCCCCCGGGGCCCGATTTCGCGGCGGCGGAAATCGGGCCTCCAAAGCGGGGGTTTACCCGCCCCCACTTGGCAGGCCTAGCAGGCTCGCAAAGAGCCACCTGGGCTGACTGCCTGGTACAATTTAAAATCACCTTCAGGGAAGCAGGCAGGAAAGTTTTATAGAAGACGGCTCCCCCCTCCCCTTGAATGGCTGACATAACCAAACATGGGGAAGGAGACTTGTCAAATGTTTTAGACCCCACGGTCCCCATTAACACCTTCCCTAGTGCTAACTAAGCATTTTTGGAAAGTTGGCAGGGTAGGGTTGCCAGGTCTGGGTTGGAAAATACCTGGAGACTTTGGGGGTAGAGCCAGGAGAGAGCGGGGTTTGGGGAGGGGAGGGGCCTCAGCATGGTACAGTGCCATAGAGTCCACCCTCCAAAGCAGCCATTTTCTCCAGGGGAGCTGATCTCTGTCAACTGGAGATCAGTTGTAAAAGCGGGAGATCCCCAGGCCCCCACCTGGAGGCTGGCAACCCTAAGGCAGGGCCAGGTGTGGCCTTTTGCTCATCAGGGTTTCTGATGGGCTGGGCTGGGCAAATTTTTGAAAATGTTGCTTTGGCAGAAGCTGCCACCATGGCACACAAGGATCTTTGCTGTGTGACTAAAGGTACAGTAGCCATTTTGTGACTGGCTCCGCCTCCTGTGGCCGCCATTTTGTGGCCGGGCCCACCACCCTGTGTCAGAATTACAAAGGTGCCCACAGGCTCAAAAAGGGTGGGGACCAATTCTCCCTCTTAGCTGTGGAGCCTTGTGAGCAAAAATTCTACTTTGTGAGCTACTGGCATTAGAGTTGTGAGCAAGCGATTTGGCCACTGCCTAAATTAGTTT